TGTCCTGAATGGGCTAGAGTTGAGACTTGATATTATTGAATCTGTCTCAAGTAATGTAAGTAGGGTATGATGGGATGCCACCACACGTTCACCATTTCTGAAGAGGAAAAGTTACAATTGTGGTCAGATCATTGCCCTCCTGAACAGTTTGTCTAGTTGTGTTCATACAGAAATGAAGATATAACTCTTGATTACTGTTGACTTGGATAAGTAATAAAAGTAAAGCTTAAAACAGGCCCAAAACTTTGAGCCAGTTCCATGTTCTGAAACTGCCATCTTGGGCCCAGGGATTTGGCTCAGTGGTTCTGCCACCTACCTTGCAAGCGCAAGGTCCCAAGTTCAATCCCCAGTACCAAAAAGAAAAAAGAAAGATACATAAACTGAAACTGCCATCTCTTTGCAATTAGAAAAAGCAAGTAAGATATAGTCTACTAAGTTAGAAGTACAGTCATTTTTAACTTTTTCTTATATTTGACATATATTTATGTACTAAAATTTTTTATTTATCAGAAATTAATTGGATTTCCTGTGTTTTTTGGCAACCCTAAGATTGATATATCCAACAATCATATTCTTCAGTGGCACATACTGTAATATACGCAGATCAGCAAAGAATGATTTTTACAGTGATAATTTTTCCTCTGCCAAACATGAATTTTATAAGCAATGGATTGTATACACCAGTACAAAACTAGGATTCTTCTCCTTATAAATTTGAATAAGCAATAAAAAGCCATACTAGCTACTAGTGGTTCCATATTATTTTCTTAAACAAATATAAGCTATACGCTTTGGAAAAAGAAGTAACCTGACTTATCTGAGAAAAAAATTTGTGTGAGACTTTGAAATTGGAAAAAGAAAATTACTGAGTATTCTGTCCTGGGATTACTGCCTTATTTATTAGAGGAAATGACTACAACACATACAATTTTTTATTTTGTTCACATTAGAAAAGAAAAGCATGTGATTTTCTTTCTTTCTTTTGGTGTTAATAAGTACAGTACTGGATTATTAACGATGGAGTAAGTTGAAAATTACCAGAGTAGTAGAGTGTTTTGATAGGCCAATATAAATTATCTAATTCCTGTAACAGATTCAGACACATGTGCAAGCAAGCAAACACACACACACACACACACACTCTCCCTACACTCATCTTGCAAATAGGATGAGCGTAGGTTATATTTCTTTTCAAAATTATATAATGCATGCTTATAATAAAAATTCAAACTACACTGATGTATCCAAAGCAAAAGTAAGAGACTCCTTCAGTATAAACCTCTCTAATCTTACTTTCCTTCCTAAAAATAAATACTATTAATGACATGGTAGATAACTTTCAAATGTTCAAATGCATTTATAAATATAAATAGCTATTGTGGTCTTCATATTGTTCATCACTTTATGTATTCTTGATCACATTTCTGGTTTGGTATACTTAACTCCTTTGGCAGCCCCTAAATTATTGGATGATTCTAATACCTGTGTATTGTCATAGTGCATCTGAATTTTTGTTCTTAGAACAATGTTGCAATAAGCTTTCTTATGATTTTTTGTACATAGCTCACATTTGCTTATATATCAAAGGGAATGGACACATCAAATTTTGATAGGTGCTACCAAATTGTTCTTCAAAATTATTATACCTTCCCAAATAATGTATTATAACTGATGACACATGACTTATAGCTGGTGTAGATGATTGACATGTCCATCAATTGTATTCAGCAATCTCTTGCCTTATCAATACTGAATATTAGCAATATTTTCTATTTTTTATGTATGTGAAAATTATTTCTCATTGCTGCTTTATATTTTTTTTCCTGACTGCAAGTATGGGTAAATAGTTTTTCTAAAATTTCTGGACATCTACCTTTCACTGAACGTGAATTACCTGTGCACATCCTTGAGGAGGCAGATGTCCCCCTTCTCCTGTACACAGTGGGGCTAGGACTGGAGCTGAGAATTTAATGAGAGCATGTGTAAATGGTCCAGGATTGTTTACCTGAGGGCAACACAATCTAGCTTCTGAAATCTGGGTGGTTGGGTTTAGAAATACTTCACATGCCTGTCAAGAGAATGTTAGCCAAAAATCCAAGATGGGTAAGAAAAGGAACTGGATTTAAGAGATGGATTGCTATTTATCTGAAAGCAACAAAGATCCCCCTATACTGGTGATATATGGGGTAGAACTGGCCCTTGATATATACTCACATGTAACTAGGGTTTTAAAAACAGTAACTTAAAATTTATTAATGCTATAATGGAGGTTATTCTGCTTTTAAGGTAGCATCACATGGCATACATCTGAGTCCATTCTCAAGATACTCTGTTGTACTTATCTCTGCCTGTTTTGTAGATCTGCAATCTCTGGCACTAAGGGGTCATCTGGGTTTGTATCACATAGCAATGAACAGATAAAGAACTTTAGAAATAGTTAAATCAGGAGACTACTGTGATCTTAGAATATTCATACAAAAATGGTGCAGTTATTGTTAATATTTTGGGTGATAAATTCTTGTTGTAAATCAACCTAAGGTGGTGTGAAGGGGTAGCCTGTAGGGAAATGAATTGTCAGAAAGAATACACTGCCTTTTATTTGTCTAATAATTGTGGCTTGTCAACTAAACATATCATCCCTGACTGGACCTGCAGAGTATTGTGCTAGAGGATCCTGGGACAAACCACTGAATTCCTTATGTTAATTTCTTTCAGTCAAGCCTGTGCTTTTCATCTAACACCTTGCTAGCTTGGTGTGTACTTAAAGGTCTGGCCCCAAATCCTGATTATCCAGGTGAAAAGGCAGGATTGTCTCTTGGTCTCACACTGACTCTAGCAGTGCTGGGTATTGAGGGGGCAGATCTCACCAGAGTCTCGTGGCCAGCTAGCTGAAGTGCGAAGGTTTTAATCTATGATTAACTACAGTTGGATGCAGATAGTGGGCATGGTGTTGAAAGACCAAGCCCTGGCTTTCCAAATCAGTATGGAGTCATTAATAATATTTAGGAGTGTGGAGTGAGCTGCTTTATTTCATAGGAAGATTTGGAAAAAGAAAATAAGTTGATTAGTAACTGGTCAAAGAATGCCTTGAAAGCCAGAGGACCTCTAGCTCAAAAGTAAACTCATTTTGTACAAACTGTGCTGAAAGACAAACTCAGATCTGATCATGAGAGTAGCAGAGCTACAAAAGAGACCAAACTCAGGAACTCAACAAGGCTCTTGTACCCAAGTCAGAGTGCTAACAGGGAAAGAAAGGAACTCTGCGACCTGGCAGGGAATATTTTGGTGGAAGAATCTCAGAATCTTAAATATCAAATTTCCCTAAGACTTACTACCTCTTAGAAACAGTTCTTTCCTCTGAAGAAAAGAGCCCTCTTGCCTAAAGAGTGTACAGTGACGTAACATGAAGTAGGATTATGCTGGTTCTCCTCACATGCTCCCCACCTCACACTAATTACCTCTGGCTTATACCCAGGAGTGGCTCAAACACCGAGCCTTAGAAATGAAATTTTAGTCCTATTTCTGGGAATGTAATTTATATGCTGAAGGAAGTGTAGACCTTGCTAATATACACAGGGAAAATATATGCGAGTGGATCTCTAAGGTTTTATTCCAATGAGAAGAATGTACAACAGGCTGGAGATAGGGAGTTGACTGACATGGTATTATGCACCCTGACTTGGGACTTGGCAGCTGGCAGAGATATTGCTCTAGGTAGTTGGTTCTGAGAGTTTTCTGTGATGACTTATTGACATGATAAAGGCCTATATCAAATAAAGCTGAGTTTCCATAACTTTTTGTCATCATATTGAGGTGATTCTTGGCAAAGGCAATATTAGAATGAATTTATACATAAAGTCTAAGAACTCATAACCTGTGTTCCCCAAGAGAACCAGATACTCTGTACGAAGGTAATGAGGAATGCCCTATGAAAGGCTTCTGGCATTTATTTGTAAAGTTTGGTAATCACTGTTCTCTGCAGGCTGAATCATCCTTGTTCTCTGCAGATAATGAAAGATGCTGTTATGAAAATGGAGCTCCTTAATGTCAGAGTGGTTGCTGGTATTCTAGACTAGTAGAGGCAAGATGGCAGCACTTAAACATCAGAGGTAGAACAGCATAGTTTCTGTAAAAAGGCCAGAATGACTGTCAGAGTCCTTTGCCCTAAAACACCTACAGCCCTAAAACACTGTTACCATGATGTGCCGACGTAAGATGGATGAGCATCCAACCAAGATTTTGCTTGATTTTGTAACATTTGTTTTTATTATTTTTGTTAAAATGATGCAAACTCATTGCAAAAGTTCAATGTACACAGAAAATTCCTCAGAAGTGTAATACTCTCTGAAGAGAATACCACCTCTCCTGTTTTGGTGATCATTAAGATACTCTCTCTGTGCTTGTGTTTATAATTTTCTATGCATAGGGTCTGGCTTTTTGTGCTGTTTTTGTAAGTTGCCTTTTTTAAGGTTAATACTCTATAGGCATCCTTCCTTACCAAAGAAAATACCTTTTATTTTATAGTGAAGTATGGCATGTTTTTATGAGCCTAGACACTGAACTACACTGTTTCAATTCAAATGCAAGTTGCACCAATCTCTTTTTATTTTTAGAGATTGAACTTGGGTCCTTGCACTTGTGAGGCAGGCGCCGGAACCACTGAGCTAAATCCCCAGCCCTTAAAATCATAGATTTTTTTTTTTTGTAATGGGGATCAAACTCAGGCCCTTTAGCTTGTGAGGTGGGCACTGGAATCACTGGGCCAAATCCCCAGCCCAATTCTGCCAATCTCTAGCTTTGTAAAAGCCAGTTGAACTCTCCATGCTTCTGTTTCCTCATTTCTAAAATGAGTATTAAAACAGAATGTAAGGTTATGATGAGGATTAAAGTAATTAATACATAGCTCAAAAAATAGTTATTATTAGTGATTGTGTTATAGTCTCCTAATAATGGACATTTATGTTGTTTCTTTTTCCTTTTTTTAACTTATAAAGTTGAGCATCCCTAATCCAAAAATCTGAAATCCAAAATGCTCCAAAATCTGAAAATTTTGAATGCTGATATGACATCACAAGTGAAAAATTCTACATGTGACATTACATGACTGATCCCAGTCAGAATACAGACAGACTAAAGTGCTAAAAAATCATCTTCAGGCTATGCAAAGAAGGTATGTACGGAACATAAATGAATTTTGTGTTTAGGCTTGGGTACCATCCTCAGGGTTGTTCATTATATATATGCAAACACACCAAATTCTAAAAAAAAAAAAAACAACAAAAAAGTCTGAAATCCAAAATACTTATGGTTCCAAGAGTTTTGTTATCCAAAATAACTCAGCTGAATAAACAATGCTGCTGTGAGCATTCTTGCCCCTACATTTTCTTATATTTGTGTGATTATTTTCTTAAGGAATTTCCACAAATGGGATTTTCAGAGCAAAAGTAATGGTCTTTTCCCCTGAACAATACTTTTTTTCTTTTTAGGATTTACTTAAAGTTTCTTATGTAAGAATTGTGTCTTCATGGACTACCCTTGTAAATATAGCTGTTCGCTTTTATCTCTTTTTTATTAAATAGGAATTTGAATTTGAGGGAGGGGATCATTAGAAAATAAGGGCTCAGATTGCCATTTGATGTTTTGTAACTTTCAGATTTCTTCTAATTTTATCCTCTGAAGGTTTTGGCATGAATACAGCAGCATTAAATCCTGACTGGGATAAAATGTTGGAAACAAGTGAGTGACTGCAATCTGTTTGGAAAGTGGTTTTTGCAACATGACCCAGTAGCTTAATGGATCATATCTGAGCGTCAAGGAAAACATTTCATTGATCCAGTCCCTTTGGCACCCGGATGTGGCAGTGAGTTGCTTCCCAGTTCTCCCGTCCATGGCTTCATTGATCCTTCTAGCAGTATTTGCTGGCTGGGTTCCTATTCATGACTCCTTGTCTCTGAGTCTGTGACTCATTGTTGATTTTCCTCCAGAGAAGAAGAGCTTAATTCCTTCCACTTTACCTTCCATCTTTGTTTCCTGCCTTCTTAAAGAAATCTCTATTTTGAATCTCTGTCCTTTTCCTTAAAATTCAACTTACTTATTCCTTGAGATTTTTTTCCCTGTGCTAAACCCTCTAGAGTTTGCTCTCTAGATTTTTTTCTACATAGCAGGCTTGTTTTAGGAGAAACTCATGCATTCCTGTTCTTTGCATATGTACTGGTAGTAGATGGAGGCCTGGGGATGTTGTAAATTTAGACATTCAAATTGAATGAGTGGTCTTATATTTCAGTTTAAAGAAAGGATTTTGAATGTTTTTACTGTAACAAATGATAGGTGTTTGAAGAGCCAGATATCTTTAAACTAAAATAAACATTACACAATGTGTGCATATATTGAAGTATCACATGGCACCCCACAAATATATAGGAAAGGACACTTTGAGGTTCTGGTCAGCTGTGTTCCCTTTTTTTCTCCTGCTAGTGGGAAAGAATCAGCAAGAATCATCAGGGAAGTCTTGCCTAGGAGACTATTTCACAACAGGAAGTCACATCAGGTGCAGTTAGCTCATCTGTCCATGAATCTTTCTGTATACCCCTTTGGGAAAGTCTGAGTTCCTGCACTCTCTCCATGCGAGAAGGGTGCTTTCTTCTGTGACACTTTAACGTCATACTGTGTCTGATGGCTACACTACACGCTTGAGAACACAAACTTCGATTTAGTCATATTAGGTCGCAAAGCCTATCCAGACCCTGGCACAGAGAAAATGAATGAAAGGTTGAATGTGTGAACGTTTGAGAGGATCCTGTTTAGGAAACTAATAGACTCTTGAATTTCTCTCATTAACCCACAAGGTGGCAGCAATTACCATAGTCCAGTTTTCTTATGTGTGGAATTCAGGGTAGAAATCATCTTTGAAGTTCTTATGACTAGAACACATACATTTTGAAAAATTTTATATAAAAAACAGAGCAATACACTGGTGAAAATGAAGAGAAAAAATTAAACCAAACATTTACTATCCACTAATATAGACATAACAGATCTAATGTGACACTATACATTTTGTCTTAAAAAGCATTTAGAACACGTGTTATTAAATTTATGAAAGGAATAAAATTTTCCCTCTTTGTAAATGTTAGATACATAATTTTCCCCCTGTGTGGTGTCTATGTTACCTGCTTTCTCCAAATCCTGTTGAACTCTTCTTGTACAGCTGTCATGTTTCTGACCTCAAAGTTGAAGAATTATATGAATTCTAGTTTCTCAGGCGGATCGCTCCCCGCTCTTTCTTTCCTCTATCCACTTCAATCTGTACAGTGGCCACATTTTGTGCTTCTTATATTGGGCTCTGAGTGAATTTATTTTATTCACTTCTGAAAAAGGATACCAGTTTTAGAAAGCTGCAGTTAAAGATTCTTTACAAGCTCAAGGATGATGACATCCAGATGAGGTCAACAGTAAGTTAGTTTTTTTGAAAAGTATTTATAATTTCTAAGTATCTTAGAAATCATGAGCATCACTACTGCATAATTTTTTTAACTTGCAGAAATTGTGCTTGGATATTTATTGCTGTTTTACTGCAGTAGTAAAGATTGCTAAGATTTGACTTCAAATTTACCAATAATTCTGGATTTGCCTATAACTTTAGACAAAGTTATGTCTAAGAGATTAAGAAAAAGAATGCTAAATGAAGATACTCTTTATAATTAAGGCATCACTGCATAAAGACAATATGAAACCAAGAAACCCAATAAGAATGTCAAGGAGACGAGGAAGAGAATAAAAGACAGAATGAGGTGCACACAGGCTCCCTGACAATGGAGTGCCCTCTTAAGAAGTTGAATCTTTGGAGTCTTCCAGGCTTTTCTCAGCTGCCAAAGGAGACTCAAACTCTTCTAACACCCACCATATCCCAGCTTTACAACAGCTCCTTGTCAAGATGCAAAAAGTTAAAGATGTTATACTTACACAACAATGGAATAAACATCTCCAAAGTGTATTTTACTCATTAATGAATCAAAGAAATGCTCAGAGACAAAATTGGTATCCAAGAACACTTGAGAAACAGGGTCTTATGTCCACCAGGAAAGAGATTTTGTGCATGTTTGGGGCACTGGACATTGAACCCAAGGTCTTTGCACTGAGCTGCAGCCTCAGACCCCCTTTTTATTTAGTGAGACAGGTTCTCACTAAATAGCTAACTTGTCTGGCCTGGGCTTAACTTGCAATCTTCCTGAGTCACCCTCTCAGAGTATGGGATTACTAGCCTGTGCCATCAGGTGCAGTTTGATACCTTATTAAAATCTGCAAATATCTCATTTCCAAATAAGGTCATATTCACAGACTAGTGTTAGAACTTGGACATATATCTATAGGAAATACAACTCAATCTATCGCAGAAAATTTTGGACTTAAGAGGTCTTGAGTTTGAATTTCTTAGACCATTTAGTTAGATGAGTATCTCACAGTCTTGTCTGCATGCTTTCTGCTTTACCAGGTGCTGGGGAAATTTACTATTCTTAGCAAGGTGGGATTTCAGGAGCCCCAGACACTTATTGTGGCAACTTTGCATCTAGTCACCTTGTTTGGATTTTCTATCTCCAGTTCAAACAATAAATCCCTTTCATGGTCTCTGAGACAAAGTCCTTGCTTCTTGTCAGGTTCCAGGTCCTTTCCTTTTCCCTGATACATCTAGGTTTTGGTGCTTATCCACAAGATCAGTTTTTCTTTTTTTTTTTTAAGATCAGTTTTTCTGAGATCTGGTCTGTGTCCTGCTCTTGTCAGCGTACCCCCCAGAGCTCTTGGTTCCAAGGGAGCAATGTGATTTACTAGAGAATGAGGAGGGAGCAGTCACACACCCCTGACTGGCAAAGAGAAAATTGGTCTGGGTGACCATTTGTGTAAGTGTGTGTGTGTGTGTGTGTGTGTGTGTGTGTGTGTGTGTGTGTGTACGCGTGCGAGCATGTATGTTTTTGGTTGGTTAGGCATTCGCAAGGGTATAGTCAAGGCGCAAGAGAGGCCTTTTCAGGGTTTGGGAATAGTAGAGAAAATTGCTGTGTGTGTATTTGTGTGTGTGTGTGTGTGTGTGTGTGTGTGTGTGTGTGTGTGTGTGTGTGTACGCGTGCGAGCATGTATGTTTTTGGTTGGTTAGGCATTCGCAAGGGTATAGTCAAGGCGCAAGAGAGGCCTTTTCAGGGTTTGGGAATAGTAGTCGACCTCAGCACCTTGTGGATGTAGAGAGCAGGTATCTTCAAGATTTTAATTTAAAATCTTTCAAGTTAATTTTGAAAAAACTACAAAAATCCTCACATGTTTTAAGGTAACATCCAAAGGTTTTCATCTTGTTTATATAATTATAAAAGTTGAGGGTTTTTACATTTTGTAATATAGTATGATTTTAAAACAAAACTGCTATATTGTTCTTTTAAAAGTATCCAGAAGAACCTAAATGTTATAATGACTTGATATCTACTCACTACCATAGTTTTGTGTATTTATAAATAAGTTATTTAAATATTTGGAAGTTCTGCTTATGTCATTTTTCCTCCTCAAACTCATATTTACATTTAATACTTCCATACAATTTAACTGTCATGTGGTGAGTTTAAGTATAAAGGTCATTTTTTTTTTTTGGTACCAGGGATTGAACTTGGGTCCTTGCACTTGCAAGTAAGGCCACTGAACCACTGAGCTAAATCCCCGGCCCATAAAGGTCATTTTTTATTTACTTTGTCCTAATTCTTTGCAAAAGATATATTAGAAAATCAAATTGTAAAACTGTCTTTTTGACAGTAACATATGGTTTTGAGTGCTAACCACATTTTATTTTAGACTCAAATAAATAAAATCACAGATGAAAAAGGAAATATTACAACTGACTCCAAAGAAATGCAAAGTATTCTTGAGACTGTTATGAACAACTAACTACACACCAACAAATTTGATAATCTAGAAGAAATGGACAATTCCTGGACACATTCCCTTACCGAGATTGAATTAGAGAGAAAAAGAAAAACTGAAGAGACCAATAACAAGAAATGAGATTGAATCAGTAAAAAAACATCACAACGAATAAAAGCCTAGGACCAGACGGTTTTATTCCTGAATTCTACCAAACATTTAAAGAAGAAGTAATGCCAGTTTTCCTCAAATTATTCCAAGAAATTGAAGAGGAGGGAATTCTTTCAAACCCATTTTATGAAGCCAATATTCTCCTGATGCTAAAAACAGTCACACACAACAGTAAAAACAAAATTCTGGTCACAAAATGAATTGGATGAGGAACTTAATCAAATTCAGTGGTTAGGTTCAGTGTTGACCTCTGGGAAATTTGATTCGGTTCTCATCCAATTCAGTTTGCAACCAGAAAAGTGGAAAGAATTAAATTCATGAGCCGAAGTACCACTTATTCCTAGAAGAAAAGTTAATAGATATTTCTTTTCACAAAGAAATGATAAATGTTTGAGAAGATAGGCATGTTTATTCTGATTTGAACATTACATAATGTGTACATGAAACACCACATGGTATTTGTAGGTACAATTTTATGTGTCAGTCTAAAAAATAAAAATAAATTCTTTTAGATTGTGTTGCTATAACCATGAATAGTACATAATAAAATGACAAAGATAAAATATTAATAATTAAATAGAAAATATAAAATTTTATTGGAATTCCAATTCCTAATGAAGTGATAGTATTCCCCCAACAATTACTTTATTATTTATTGCTGGAATGAGATA